AAAAAAAAAAGAAAAGGAAATTGAATTAAAATAGTAAAATGGAATAGAGGTAAGTCCCAAAAGACAAAAACAAACAAACAAAAGAACAAATAATTTGTAAACAAATAATATGGCCTAAGAATATTTTACTGGGCTTGGCATGTGTAGCTCAGTGAGCATGGGTATTACCAAGGGTGGCAGGTTCAAGCCTGGCCCGGGCCTGGTAAATAATGACAACTCCAACCAAAAAATAGCTGGGTGTTGTGGCAGGCACCTGTAGTCCGAGCTACTTGGGAAGCTGAGGAAAAAGAATTGCTTAAGTACAAGAATTTGAGGTTGCTGTGAGCTGTGACACCAGGGCACTCTACCAAGGGCAACATAATGAAACTGTCTCAAAAAAAAAAAAAAAGGAATATTTTACTGAAGTAAAAGAGTTGGATTCATATAGTGAAAGAACAAACTTTGATGAAGAGACGTATGTTCAAAATAATAAACAAGATATATTCTAGAAAATTTGTAGAGTTCAAATGAAAATGAAATGAGTATTTGGGTAACCAAGCATAAAGATCAAGGGGTAGGTGTGAGGGATAAACATGGTCTCAGGCTTCTCCATAGAAAACCCCAAAGCAAGATATTGTAGAAGAATCCTACAACAACCTCAAGAATAGATAATGGGCAGGGTGTGGGAGCCTAAGAATGTTACACCTGGTCAAGCTATGACTTAAAAAATAAAGCAATATACCAAAACTGTAAGAACTCAGAAAAATATTATTCCCACGGGATTTCTAGAGTAATCTAGTAGAATAAGAAAATCTATAGAAAAGATGATTGGTGACAGGATTAACTCTTAAACAGTGAGGACTAAAAGAAAAATATATATATGTAGGATTAGAATTATGAGAGTGTAAATGTTGTATGCTCTTATGCTATAGAAATAATATAACAGAAATGCAAAGAGCAGGAGAAAGGATGAGAAGTAGTGCAAATATTCCAATGTCCTTATCTTTAATAGCTTCAGAGTAAAGCACATCGCTAAAAGCTAACCTATCATTAGTAGAAATATAATTAATAGAGATTAATACCATGAAAGACAATATAATCAACCCAAATCAAATGATACAGGAGAGGGAATGGATAAGGGAAAAGGAAATATAGTACCTTTATCATTGCTGATGAAAACAACTCAGGTGTGTTTAAAGAAATAGGGAAGTAGATTAGTGAATTATAAAATATTCTTGCTATACAGATACTCACTAGAATGAAAGTACCAAACTTACTAATTATTATAAGAAATGAACACATGGGGGGAGCCAACATGAAAGGTTTTTAGCAGGCATAAAAACAAAAAGCAAAACATAAAATGACAACCGAAACTAAATACATTTATCATCATAATAAACATACACAAGTTAACTCATCTATTAAGAGACATGAGTTAAGATTAGGGCTTTCTAGTAATAAATGCAAAAAATGACAATAGATCTTGTGCAACGTCAATTAGTACCTGCCATAAACATCTCCATTAATGATAATAAGGCATTTCAACAACAAATAAGAATCCTTGATTTTTTAAGGAAAAAAATGAGGTAAACATTATAATAAAGCCTATTAACAGAATATATAACTCAGTCTAAGAGCCTGAAATGTAGTTTAAAAAAAAAAAAAACAAAAAACTGGAAGCACCTCCATTAAAATCAGGAACATGACAGGATACCTATAACAAACACAATTATTCAATTTTCTTGCAGGTATTAGCCAACACTAATAAAAATATATAAATGAGAAAAACAAAATTTGTAAAGGAAGAAAGCTTTTTGATTGTTTTGGTGACTTACCATTGATTCTTCCTTATGATTATGTGGGTTAACTAGACAGTTCTGCTTTGCTCTCTAGAGTAATTCAAAGTTTCTACCCTAAATCACTCAAATAGTTAACAAAGCCAATATAAGATTCTAATGTTAGATAATGTTTAACTAAAGAAACATTTTCAAGGCAGGATAAAATGTATTTTATCTGGAGTTCTTTGGAGGTTATAATCACTTGTTCCTTTTTTAAAATGGATGCTTAACGATGCCTGTCTTCTTTTTACTAAATAAAAAATATGTTCCAAACCCAAGATTTCTGTGATTAAGTTTGTAAACTGACCTTTTCACCTTAGTTTACAAAGACATTGTGACTCGTGCATTTATTGTTCTAGATATAGTACTGAAGCAGAAGCTTGATCGAGAGTCCAGTATCAGAGAAAGAAAAACGGTCTAGATGAATAACGTGGCATGTTTTATTCTGTAAGTGGCTTAAAGCATTTGATTCTCCTTGATGTGGATGGAATATACACACTTTGGAACCAAAAATGTGAGTTATGTGAGGTTTGACTGATACTTTCCTAAGGTGACCCAGCCCTTTCATCAGCAGTATTCTGTTTTCTCTCAAATACAAAGACTACATACATCCAACGTTTCAAAAGAGGCAAACATGTTTGTGATATTACAGAGTTGACTGACTGGTATTTGAAGAAACCATGTTATTTCTTGCTATCTCAGAAAACAAAGAACAGTAAGTCTAGAATAATGATAAACAACTTTTAAGAATAAAAATGTTACCTTTCTGTCTGCCCCATAGTTCTTCTTTTTGGAAACTGCCTCTACTGTATGTTCTGATTCCGGTAGGGTTGTCAATTAAGGGGCCACTCCCGTTTCAGAGGTTGTATGTGACCACGCGGGGATAATCAAAGTTCTTATTCAGTGATTGAAAGGGAACTGGAAAAGAGAGGCGAGTCTATCTTTTGTGAGAGATTGAGTTTAAAAATCTTGTAAATATGGAAACGTTAGGACCATCTTTCTAATTTTGTGGAGACAGCCTAGCTAAAGATGAACTCAAAAGATAGTAACATAGAAAGATGTAGATAGACTGACCTCAGGATACCATTGGAACATTTAGATCAAATGACAAGCTATACCTGAAGGATGGATTATATTAAGTCAAATAATAGGAAAAAAATTAATCTTATTGAACTATTATCAACTATTTTGGGAACATTATTTGCAGGATGCTAGTTTAAACCCAAACATTCAAATGTGCAAAAACCATACATTAATAGGCCTGTATCCTTTTGCCACACTCATTAGAATTGTATTTATCCACTTCATGAAATCTCAGAGTTCTGTTTTGTCTGCATTACCATCCTTGTACTATGGTGTTTGTGTAATTCTTTTATGAGGAAAAATAAGGGATTATTGTAGGTAATGTTAAGACAACAAGTATAATCCAACCAAGATTATAATAAGCAAATAAATTCTTAAAAATGACACATAAAAAACACTTTTAACAGCTTATATATCCTGCTACAACTATAATGACATCAAAATGACTTTTGGCTTATTCATTTTTTTAAAAATAACAAATTTGATGCCATATTAAAGTAGTTGAAAGATACAGAGTAAACAAAAAACTTCCAAGATAAATAAAAATCTGTATGTTGAAACAAACTGAATGTGTATTGATATAAAGAAGGAATTATATTACACTGAAATATATCAGTGACTACTCATATGAAGAACTGTAAGCATAGAATTGAAAATGACAGCTGAAGCGAATATTAATAAACAGTAAGTCATAATTAAATTTAGAATGAATTTTAAATGATAGTAATGTCTACATAATCTTTTTATAGTTGAGGGAAAGACCAAAAATGTTAAGTTTTGAAAATTTTAGGTTCTTTTTAAGATACATAGTAGCTAAATCAAAATTACATAGCTACTTTCTTTAACAAAAGTCATCTACTGATAAAGGCCAAGAATCCTCTACAACAAAGCTTACAGGTGGTTATAACTATCTCTAATTATGGCAAAAAATGATATTTCTAATATTTCCAACATAAAGCAAGGATAATCAAGGTAATCCCTTTTTATAAGTATAAAGCATATATATTATAATCAGTCTTTTTGTGGGAATATAGATTTATATGGAAGTTAAATTAGGAAGGGATTAGTACAACATTAAAGATCTTTACAAAAAATAATCCATATAAGTCCTATAAATGACAATCAGATTTGGACATGCTCAAATATTCTAGATGTAAACTAGCATCCTGCAAAATAATGTTCCCAAAATAGTTGATACTCGTTTAATAAAATAAACCTTAACCTACCATCTACAAGTGTTATAAAGTTTCCTCTTAAAGAAAAGGGGTCCCTTAGAGAAAACTATTATGTAAATAACACTATAGGCAGTATAAGAATATGGCAGAGTTATGAGACACAAAATGACAAATTATAAAATATAAAATACTTCTATATACATTGTTGATATATACAACTAAACAACATATAAGGCATTACAGAATTGGCCCATGAAAGATACAAGAATTAAGTACCAGTATGATCAGAGAAAAGAAATCAATTCCAGTGAAGATGGTTAGGTGTGAAATTCAAAGAAACTGAGATTTATGGATGGACAGAAGAGGCTAAAAGCACTCCAAAAAAAGCAAGCAGTAAGGCTGGGGGTGGTGGTGGCTCAGGCTGTAATCCTAGTCCTCTGAGAGGCTGAGACAGGAGAACTGTTTGAGGTCAGATGTTCAAGACCAGCCTGAGCCAAAATGCAACCCCATCTCCATCAAAAAGAGGATAGGGCACTGGTGCCATATACTGAGGGTGGCCGGTTCAAACCAGGCCCCAGCCAAACTGCAACAAAAAAATAGCCAGGCATTGTGGTGGGCACCTATAGTCCCAGCTACTTGGGAGGCTGAGGCAAGAGAATCGCCTGGACCCAGGAGTTGGAGGTTGCTGTGAGCTGTGTGATGCCACAGCACTCTAAGCACTCTACCAAGGGTGACAAAGTGAGACTCTGTCTCTACAAAAAAAAAAAATAGAAAAAATTAGCTGGGCATGGTGGCACATACCTATAGTCGTAGCTACATGGGAGGGTGAGGCAGGAGGGTCCTGAGCCAAGGAGTTTGAAGTTGCGTTGAGCGATAATGATACCACTGCACTCTACCCAGGTGACACAGAGCTAGACTGTCTCAAAAATAAGGAGTGAGCAGGGAGGAGCTTCAGCTTGTATCCTTTCAATCCTCAGAAGTATCCAAAGCACCGTCACAACATAGTGAAGACACTTCAGGGAGAGATAGAAGATTCCCAGTTTTTTATTTTCTTATACAGAAACTACTTGACATTTAAGTTTATTATATATTTTTAGACAAGTGATATAGGTTAGCCAAAATGTTATTACTCTTTAGTATATATTGATATGAAAATACCATTTACAAAATGATATACAATGGTCCCTGACTTAAGATAGCTTGACTTTAAGATGGTGCAAAAGTGATATTAAAATTTTAAATCTTGATCTTTTCTCAGGATAAAGATACATAATACAATATTCTCACAATGCTGGGCAGCAGCCCAGCTGATACTACAGCGTGCTGTGTTACCACATGATTTGCCCAACTATTGGCTAGTAAGTGTTCTGAGCATGTTTATGGTTCTAGGCTAAGGTATCAAGTTCGATAATTTAGGTGTATTACATCCATTTTTAACTTAGGATACTTTCCACTTATGACCGGGCTCACTGGGATGTACCTCTATGGTAGGTCAAGGAGTATCTATATACTTGTAGCACAGTAACTACCATAGTACCACAGCTCTCAGACACCTGAAGAGTGGTGAAAATCATACACTCCACGCTAGGTGTTTCCTATTTCTAACATTTCCTAGGTCTCCTAAAACCACTTAGGAGGAATAAAGAACCCTCACTGACTTTTGTCCTCTGGTTAGATTTCTTATACTGGTTCAGCAAATTCCAACTGGGCAAAAAGGTAAAAAAGTAGTAGAGAAAAAAATTCATACAGTGAGTAAATTAACTGAAGGGAAAATTACATGGTAATAGAAAAACTGGAAAGAGAAAGATTCTCATTTTTTATCCTGCAAAGATTAATTCTTTAAAGCAAAATACAAAATAAGCATTAAATAGTCCTTACTGTGATTTTAATTATATCATTTTATACCATACAATAATAAACGCCCCCTTGAACATTTTATGTACTCATATTTTGAAGCAAATGGTATAACTGTCCATAATTTCCAAAGAAATTTTAATTCTAGCACAAAGCCTGTCTGTGACCTTGAAAACAGTATTAATTTTTCTCCCCTGTAATAACAAAGGTGTTCCTGATGATATCTGAAGTTTCTCCTAGTTCCAAATGTTAATGATGCGTCATTACTTACAGCTAATTCGCTACTTCCTTTTTCCTAAATTAGACTTCTTAAATCAGTTTTTCCTAATTATGATGGAAAGTTTCCAAAATGTACCACATTTTAGAAATATTAAAATTCAAATCTACTTCTGACAAAGATTGAAAATAATGACCTTACAAATAAATTAAAATCCTTTATTTCCTACCAACCATGTTCTAGCAATATTGGAAGCATTAATTAAAATTTGGAACTGTATAAAAACCTTAAAGCAACAGTTAGCGAAAGTAAAACCATAACAATAGTCCCTATTAACTTACCAAGTTAAAGATGTGCATTAGAAATAGATATTACACTAGAAAATTAAGTAGATTACCTATAGTCTGATGACCCTCTGCAATCACAGTACTTAGAAGCATAACTAATTTCCTGTGTATAATTTTAGCATACGATTGGTAACTTCCCTAAATTTCCAAAACTTGTATGTAATCACTTTCCCATACATTTCCAAGAAAAGGTTTCATTTACCATTGCAAACATTGATTTATTAAATAATAAAGTAGAAGTCCATGCTTTATAAATATATTTCTCACAGAGAATTCAAGAAAAAAATTTTTCCTATCACAGATAGTTATCAATCATCTTTAAGTCTTCTAGCTAATATTTCATTAAAGAAATTAAGTGGGAGCTGCATTTACAGATGATGCTCGTGCTTTGGCCATTCTCCGAACCAATGCTTCTTGTCTTTTTCTCTGAATTTCTTCAGGAGAACATTTTTTATTTTTCTCCTCTTCCTCTAAAAATTAAACAAAATATAGGTTTTAGTTTTTAGCCTATGAAGTCATTCTGAACATGAGTTTTAACTTTTGCTTTTTTATTATTCAGCATTGCTGTACTGGTTTGGCTATTAAACCAAACTAAACTACTACACGTAAGAATCCAAGTGGATATATACAGACATAATACTCCAGGTCAATAGAAAAATCAAGCACTGATTAATCTGTCCCTATTTGATAACACTTTTCACAGTGTGATAAAGTTGTTTAATTAAAAACTATTTATTTTGACTACCCATAGAGCAATTCTTATGAATAATCAGATCTAATTTATATGAACTCTGAATTAATATAACTAGGAATTTAAACGTTGTATGAACTTTAAGAAAAGTAGCCTAATTATATTGAGTGTATTTTTACTACAAAGTAAGTTGTATTAATTTTCATGTCTATTTTTTTCACTATAGAGCTATAAAGTTTTTATTTTATCCACTGAGAAAAAAATATCTTAGCGTGACAGAATGAAATCTCTCATGTTAAAATGACCACAAGTGACTCACTGCTGGATGTTTATTTGGAGGATGCATTTTGCAGAAACTTTAAAATGGTCTCTATTAACTTACAAAGTTGAAGCTTTGTATTAGGAATTACAAGTTGACCATCTCCCTACACTCATCACCTCATTATGTTAACCTAATTTTCACAGACCAGATGTGTCTCAAATATGCGTTTCAGTACAATAGCCTTAGTTCCTGATGTTGACCACTCTGTATGTTGGCCAGTCTGTTACAGTCCCTTGGTGGTCAACTTACATAGATTCTACTGTATTTTCTTATTTAAATGATATCTTAAGTTTAAGACCATTACACTAATACATATTTAAGTAAACTTTTATTGGTAAAATTATTTGTTATAAAATGTGCTTTTTAAGAAGTAGAGAAATACTGATATTTAGAAAAAGATTCAGAATTTATTATAAGACATTTCTCTCACTAACTAAAAAATGCATTTTCCAAAATATATTCTCTGTCTCCCCTCTTCTTTTCTTGGTGTAATCAGAAATGGGAGAGGGTATGCGGTAAGAAATACATATTTTAATTCCCTAGATGATTCTGATGTCTTTTGTTTCCTAAGCTAGTTATCTAACAGACCATAGCTATTTTTCCTTACAGAAAGATACTAGAAGATATTTTTATAATGACCTTGACTAATTATTTAATATTTTAGGCTGAAAGCTGAGAAACACAAAAAACTTAGGAGATACAGAGTTTATATTCAGCTGACTGTATGAAAGGAAAACATGTCAATAATCCACAGTAACAGAAAAGAATGCAACTTCCTAAAATTGGTCTGACAACTGGTTTGCTGATACTTTGGGATAATTTCAAATGACATCAAGTCACATTATGAGTATTGATGTAGGGACTCTTCCATTTTTATAATAAGAAAACACAGGAAAGTCTCAAAATATTGCAAAGTATTAAACAGTGGTTCTTCTTAACCTTTACCTTAAAGTATGAAGGGTCAGGAAGTAACTATTTTAACTTTTGAGGTCTCTTTCTGCAACTGCTCGCCTCTGCCACTGTAGCATGAAAACAGTCATGGACAGTACCATAAAAAAAAGGTTATGTTTGAATAAAACTCAGTTTACAGATAATGAAATTTGGATTTCATGTATAGTAGAACCTCTGTAAGCTGACCACCCAAAGGACTGTAACAGACTAGTCAACATATGGAGGTGGTCAACATAAGAAACCAGGCCTATGCACATGTGATGTGATGCATGTCTGATCTATGAAAATTAGGTCAACTTAAAGAGGTGGTCAATGTAGGAAGGCAGTCAAATAGGAATTCTACTGTAATTTTCAAATGTCACAAAATATTCTCCCTCTGATTTTTTTTCAACCATTTTCAAATGTAAAAATCGGCTCGGCGCCTGTGGCTCAAGTGGCTAAGGCTCCAGCCACGTACACCCAAGGTGGCGGGTTCGAATCCAGCCCGGGCCGAGGGCTGCAACCAAAATATAGCCCGGCGTTGTGGCAGGCGCCTGTGGTCCCAGCTACTTGGGAGGCTGAGGCAGAAGACTCGCTTGAGCCCAGGAGTTGGAGGTTGCTGTGAGCTATGGCACCATGGCACTTTACTGAGGGCAACATAGACTCTGTCTCAAAAAAAAAAAAAAGAATCATTTTTAGTGTGCTGACTATACAAAAACAGGCTGCAGGTTTGCCAACTCCTTCCTGAAATCCACTGAGGGATTTGAGTGGGTTTTGTTTCAAAGATACTCCCTGGAGTGCAGCTTGCTATACACCGAAGTAAAAGAAAAGTGCAAACAATAGAAAACATCAACAAGATTAACACTAAGAGATTAGGTGTTAGGAATAAACTTACAGGAAAAACTGATAATGTTTGCTAAATGGCAGATTACCCATACATAAAAAATACAGATAACAGAATAGATAGGAGTTTTGGAAAAACTCAAAATACCCCAGAGAGATTTAGTCTTTAATGGAATCATAATGACATGTGACCTTGAACAACATGGATCTGAACTGTGCAGACCCACTTACAGGCAGATTTCCTTCTGTTTCTGTTCCCCCCACCCCCGACACAGCACATCAACCTCTCCTCTGCTTCCTCCTCAGCCTATTCAACGTGAAGATGGTAAGGATGCAAGACCTTTACAATGATCCACTTCCACTTAACGAATAACAAATTTCTTTTCTCTTCCTTGTGATTTTCTTAGTAACATTTTATTTTCTCTAGCTTGTTTCATTGTAAGAAAATGGTATATAACAAATGTAACATAAGAAATATGTATATCATCTGTAAGGTTTCTAGTCAACAGCGGTTATTAGCAGTTAAGTCTTGGAGCCAATAGTCATATATAGATTTTTAACTACACAGGGAATCACTGCCCCTAAGCCCCATGCTGTTCAAGGGTCAACTGTTTATGTAAATACATTCATGCTGAGAACATGGATGAACTAGTTACAATATACTCACTTGAATAAAAACTTTCAATATTTAAAGTTAATAGAGATTGACAATAATTTTTAGTTTCAAAATATCTAGTTTAGGCTGAAATGTAGAGAATTACCCATTGTCAGCATTGATAATATAAATTGGTGTAACTTGGTTAGCAAAAAATTATGGTGATATCCATCAAAATTTAAAACTTTCTCTTATGTTGATTTTTAGGAAGTAACAAAATCATACAAACCTGCAGACATTTATATAGAGGATAGTCACTCGAGTATTGTTTATAATTGCAAAAAAACTGCAACCATCCTAAACTTTCATCATAGAGAAAGTTAATTATGGTACACCCATGTAATATACCACGTAGTCATTAAAAGGTCAATGAAGTATATACACTAACAGAAAAAGACTTTTATAATATATTAAAGAAAGGTAAAAGCAAGTTGCCAAATAGTGGGAATATAATGTATGAATCCATCCAGTAATTAAACAAATTTATAGGCATACACACACATATACACACATGAGGTCTAACAAGTTTGCAAACTCACTGTAGAAAAAGTGCCACATACCTCATTGCTGCATATCATTATGGTCACTTGTGAAACACTCTGTTTAGGAAGCTATGCCCTGACTCCAGCACTTCAGTCTACCTTTCAAAGCAATTTTGGAACTCTTTTTCTGGAATGGCCATCAGAGCTGTAAGAAATCTGACAATTAAGCGGATGAATTCATCCTAGAAAAAGTGCTTTGAAGGGCGTACAGTGGCGCTGGTCTGGGTGCACAGCTTCCCAAGGGCAGTACTTTGAAGGTGACTGTAGCGATATTCAGCAATGAGGTATGTAACATTTTTTCAAGGATGAATTCACAAACTTACCACATTGTTGACTGGCAATTTTTATGCAGAAGTTATCCCATGTCACTGGCTGTTATTCTGTAATTGAACATGAAAGTGAAATGAAGCTAATGTGACCTCCATATGGTTCCACTGCTTCATCGAGGGATAACTCCTCCTAATTTCCTCCTGAAATTTTGGAATAAAGTAACACAAAAGTGGCTTATAGTCTGCCTTCATTAGATGTAGCTTATGAGTTATCACTATTATGAAAAAACATAAGGATCTGCTTGAACTTCATTCTGGTCACAGCTTTAGGAAATATTGGTGTTTCAAGCAAAGGGTCCACTGACCAATAATCTCTCCAATGTGACTTTTTGGTTTGTCCCATCAACATCAATAAATTGAGAAATTTCTCTGTGTCACTAATGTTAACTTCCATCCATGGTAAAGTTTTATCAGAGTTTTTATAAAATTGTTCCATCTGGTGGTGGTATAATCTGTTTAAGAAGCAACTAAATCAAAAAACTACCATCAAAAAGTAAATCTGTCATTTCACTGATAACTCTACGGATCACTAAATTCAACACCTACATTCAAAATATTCATATAATCCTCCAAGGTTGGTGTAATATCTATCATTTTCAGTCCACTCTTCAAAATCACTTTCATTATCAGACTCTATTACATTTCTTTTTTGCTGTTCTAATATCTGATTTATAATTGTCTTCTGATAAACTATCATTTTCCAGATCACTACAAAATATTTCAAAATCACTTGAACAATCAGATAAAGCATTTGCATAAAATTCATTGAAAAATTCTTCACCATCACAAACCATCATGGTTAACATGTTTGTAACACTAGAATTATGATAAACACCTGAATACCTAGAAAAATAATTTTTTATAATAAAGTGAACACGATTAAACATGATCACGAAAGCTTTTAATATCCTACATTACCCTATGTTTTAAAAATTGCAATGCTAATAGAAGTGCAAACAGAAGTTAACTTGTGACTACTCAACAATGTGTTAAGTGTCCAACCTTGTGTATTTGCACATGCACAAACCTCCCTTTTTATCTGCATAGCAAATGCTACAGGACTACCAAGCTGTTAGTAGTAGTTTCCCCTGAGCGATGGTAGTGGAGAAAAGAGAAATAGAGGACATAACTTTTTACTTCATATTATTTTATACTATTCTCTTTCTTTTTAGACTATCAGTATATCACTGTTGTAAGTTAAAAAAAAGAATAGTTACTTAAATAGGAAAGTTACAGCAGTAATGCCAAACAGATAATAGTCATTAAATATTTAATTACAACCTGTGATAAAATAAATTAATAAAAAATAATCAAGGAAAAGACTGACTTAACAGATTCTTTAAGAAAGGCCTCTGCAAGCAATTAATACTTATATTGAAATACAAGAAAGCACAAACAAAAACACTGAGGGTAGGGAGAGTCAAATATGGGAAGAAGTAGTTTTAGTCAAAGGCGATAGCATAGTTTAAGTTCCTAAACTAGAAAAGAACACACTCTTTTTGAGAAATGGAAAGACAGCTGGTGTCGCTGAAGCTTTGTAAGAGAAAACAAGGCGAGGGAGGTTAAACAATCCAGAGCTTTGTAGATGACAACGTAAAGTTTGGATGTTTTTTGAAATATGAAGGGCAGCCACTGAAGGTTGTTTAAAGCACAGGCAGGCCACGTGAGCCCATTCTGCTATTTGGAGAATTGATAGGAAACAGATAAAGGAACTGCAATAATCAAGAAATGTTGTTAGGTAAGGGGAGCAGAAAGTGAGAAAAAGGGACAGTCGTGAGATATAATTTTTGAGATGTAAACAGTGGAACTTATTTACAGAATGGAAAATTGGGGAAAAGAGGGAATGGAAGATCAGAAATGACAGGTGGTATCCAATAAGTAAGTCACAATTTTAACCAACACAATTATAATGTTTTATATTAGATATTAGACTAGCAAAAGTATTTAATTAGAATGCTCTAAATCAGGGGTCCTCAAACTTTTTAAAAAGGGAGCCAGTTCACTGTCCCTCAGATGGTTGGAGGGCCGGACTGCGGGCCCCGGGACGAGTCAGCTGCTAAGCAGGACAGGCAGTGGCGGCAAAAACACCCCACAGGCCAGATAAATGTCCTAGACGGGCTGCATGTGGCCCATGGGCCGTAGTTTGAGGATGCCTGCTCTAAATTTTATATTGTTCACCTCAATCTGAATGTAGGAGTAAGATTGCTCAAGTTCTGAAACAAAGAGATATTTTGTAAATATAATCTTAAAACACTGTAATACATATATCTAAAAGTATAATTTTCCAAAAAATAATGCAAAAATCATTCAGTAAGTATTTACTTAGTAACCACTACATACTAATCACTGTATTAAGTGCTGAGAAAGAATTTGAAAAATAAACCACCTATTCTTCATGTCCTACAGCATAATTATTTGCAAGAATCACTTTAAGAATTCTAGACAAACATCACAGAATAGTTTTCCCTTTTGTTAACTCACACTCAAAACAACCAATAACTAGTTTTACCACTTTTCAGTATGATGCTTTTCACAAATTATTTCATACATACCTTTTGAAGACTGTTCCAAAGACTGCTGTTGAACAACCTCTCCCAGTAATGGGCTGACAGAAGCAGTTTTCTTTTTCGCCAAATCCTGTGTCATTTTGGTAACAGACACGCTTCCCATTACACAATTTTGATTAAACCGAGAAAGATTCTGAGAATTTTTCATCTTTGTAAATGTATACTTTGAAGATTTAACGTTACTGTTAAGGATGCTCTGACCTTCATCTGTTATAGTCTTATGGGATAGTTGTGGAGTATTCAATGTCTTCATACAAGCAGCAATTTCTGTACCCACATGATCTGAGTTCACATTCAAAACTGAACTTCTAGTAAGAGCTGATTTGAAATTATTCACTTGTATTGGAACACCAGTGTTAGCCCTACAGACACTGATTTGACAATCTGCATTCTTAGAATATATAGCCAAGTTTGTTGTAGCACCTAAAAAACTTGGCGAATTTCCACATATTTCTCCTTTCTCCATCTTTACTGACTTATCCATTTGCAAGCTATTTGTTAAAGAAGACGTTTGCCTTGAAATGTTGCCCAGATTCAGATGCTTTGACTGTACCAAATGACTTCCTTGTTTAGATGTAGTAAACATGTCTTTGGCTCCATGTATGGAATTATTATTGGCCTCAAGTATGCTCTCTGATGTCCTGCTATCCCTTCTATTGTCTTCTTGCTGAGTTAGTCTTTCAACGTCATCACATGCTTGGTACAACAAATCATCATCTACATCATCTGCTTCCCAGCTATCTTCTAGCTGATGACATGCTTTAATAACTTCATTGGTGAATGATGGATCATTCCAATCATCAAAGAACAAACTCGATTTTGATGCATTAGTCTGATCTCGGTTACTAACACTGGTTTCATTGCCTAGAGTTGCAGAGCCAGTATCAACAGGTGCTTTAACAGAATGACTAAAAATGGGCTTATTTTTTTGATCATTAGAATATCCAGAGTTCAAAGCAGATGTTTCAGAAGCATTTACACAAGAAGTAAATTTAGCACAAATATCTTCCTTTACTTTTGTCAAACTAGATGCAGTTGCAGTATCTTGAATTTTGTCTTGAATAACAATTTTATTGAAGGATGTCTCAAATTTCTTGTTATTTTCAGTGGATGGTAATTTGTTTGATTTATCATTTGGATTTAGTGAAATTTGATATTCCCTGTTAGGTGTCTCTGAAGGAAGACTTTGTAAAATTTCTGAATCTCTTAATCTAACATCTAGACTTGTATTTGTTCCTGACTTACTTTTATCGTTTTTCCCATTAAAGGTACAAAGTCCCTTTTGATCAGTAACTTGGGCTGTTTTAGAAGGGACGAGTTCAGGCACTTTGACGTTTTGCATAACAAAACATTCATTACCTAGCAAGTTTTCCCAATCGTCCTCAAAATCACTGGTAATAAATGCATCAGGGGGCTTATAACAAGTTTTGGGCTCCTTAGTACAGGAAGTCACACATGATTGTGTCATTACAGGAGTATCCAAAGGAGAAGAAAGTGAACCCAGAGTTTTATTTAGCAGTTTTTCAGAGACCAGAGTTTCATTAATTACTTTGTCCTCTTTCAAAGCATTTTTCTTTCCAAAGGTAGTATTGCTGGTGTTCAAAAAAGCTTCTTGGCTTAACCATCCACTACATTTCTGAGTTGAACCATCAAAAATGGCATTAAGGGCTGCTTCAACATTTTGGTCAAATGGCTTCTGACTGCTACTTTGATCATTTTCGTCAGGTATCTTGGTGTTTCCTTTGATTGGCTTCTTTATTATACCATTATCTACTTTAGTACCTATATTATATAATGACTGCATTTGTACATTATCTTTGTAATTATTTAAAGTCTTTGTTTCTGAAATCATCTGAATAAAATCATAATTCCTCTTATCTTGCTCTTGGATGACATCTAGCTCTTCCATATTTTTGTCAAATTGTTTAGCCAATTTCATAAGTTCTTCTTCTTGATTTTGTGTTCTTAACCTATTAACATTAAAAATTATAACTAAGAGATGTTCTAGAAGACATTACAAATATTCAATTGTTATTTAACATATTTTGATGTTAAAATTCAAAAATTTTAACACTTTTATTGTAATTACTTTTACTCCGTAATTTTACAGATTAAGCCTAAGGAAATTTTTTGTTTGTTTTTGAGACAGAGTCTCACACTGTCACCCTTGGTAGAATGCCGTGGTGTCACAGCTCACAGCAACCTCCAACTCTTGGGCGTAAGTGATTCTCTTGCCTCAGCCTCCCAGGTAGCTGGGATCATAGGCGCCTGCCCACAACGCCCGGCTATTTTTATTGCAGTTGTCATTGTTGGTTCAAACTCGTCAACTTTGGTATATGTGGCTGGAGCCATAACCACTGTGGAATAGGAGTCGATTCAAGGAAATTTTTTATTAACTATTTTGATATAGTCACAAAACTAAAACAGAATATTTTGTTTTAAAAGACAGTGCTACTCTATCACCCAGGCTAGAGTGCAATGACATGATTTTAAGCTTACTACAGCCTCAAACTCCTAGGTTCAAGTAACCCTCCTGCCTCAGCCTCCCAAGTAGCTAGGACTATACGAGCCCACCACCATATCCAGCTAATTGTTTTTATTTTTGTAGAGATAGGATCTTGTTATGTTACCCAGGTCAATCTGAACTCCTGGTCTCGAGTGATCCTCCTGCCTCAGCCTCCCAAAGTGCTGGGATTATAGGTGAGAGCCACCTCATCTAATGAAACAGAACATTATTTTAAAATATTTGCTTCACTGAATTTCACAATATCTGAAAAGTAAAAACTCACTTTGTGCAGCTGAATTTTGCTCTTGATTTTCCTTTTGCTATACTGGGAGTACAAGGAATAGCAGTTTCACCAATCCACATGCCCAGCATAGAGTTTGTTGTTGGTTTTTCATCCTTTTGGCAGAGGGGGATAAAAAGAAGATGAAATCAAATATTTTAGAAAAGAGAAAGAGAGAGAAGTAAAAAAAGAAAGGCAGAAAACAAACCTAACAGCCTTGAAACAAACCTTTGAATCATTATAGCAATAAATTCTGGTGGGTAGTAGTTATCAAACAAACTCAATGAGAAGCTGGGGTATAGCCATAAAAAGTTACAAAAAGTAACCCATTTGTGTTTCACAGAATGAAAACATTCTGAACTAGATTATTGCTTACTTTAAAAAATATTAAGATTTATCAAATGTGTATTTGATAAACATTTTTATCAAAATTAAACTGACTCATTTTAATTGTCATAAGATACTCATATGAACATTAGCATCAGAAACAAAAAATTGTGGCAGAAAACAACAGAATTGAGAATAAAAAGAAATACACATGGAATCGTTTCTGTATTAACTGACTCCAAATTACTCTTATCTTCATTATAATAACCTTTATCAAAAGTTAGACAATTATCTCCTAATGTTGACCTAAATTCAGCACACAGAAATTAATGCCAGGACAGAATTAGAGATAAGAGTAAGGTTAGAACTAAAGCTAAAATGAAGTAGGAATAAGGACAAAAAATAAGGAGAAAAAAGTTTAACCTTTTTAGATCTGGATAAAATCTAAGAAAAAGCCACTTCAGATTTGAATATTTTTTGAATATCTGAATATTTGAATATTTCAATCACTTGATTACATAAGAATTAGAGAATAAACTTTATACATTTGTTGCAAATGAGACAACAAATCAAATTAACCCTTTTTACTCTATTTTATAGTACTTAGAACTATCACACAAGGTAAAAATAATCTGAGATTATAGGTTACTCAAGGACAAAAACTCGTTTTATGATAGCTCAGCATCTACCACAACTACTGGGCATACAGGTGTCAGTTTACATTTATTTACTAGAAGGTTTAGGTGAAAAGACCCTGGAAGTACACTTAGTACTTCAAAATCCTCAATCAGTCAAGTTTTTTTAATGTCCACTTGAGCCTCACTGACTTTAGCTTTACAAATACTCAAGAAAATGATTTCAGCAACCATCTTGGAAATTTAAGAAAATTCTTGATGATTTAATTATGGATTCTGCCATTTACCAAGTAATTTATAATTCAACTAATTTTCAGAGAATTAAATTATGACAAATTTATGTGCCAAATTTTACATGAGCAAGAGTAACATACATAGTAAGTACATTTGTATCCCATTAGTAAGTGTTCTATTTTACATATTTCTTCATTAACAATTACATAAACTAGTGATTCCCAGTTACGGTCCAGGTGCTATACAAGATATCTCAATGCATGACTTCATTTCATTCTAAAGAGTATACTGTGTAAAGCTTTATGAATGGTGGTAAGACATGACATACACATACCATCTTCAAAAAACAACACCGGATAAAAAGTATCCCTGAAGAGTGAAATAAACTATCCAATTAAAATGGAAGTAGGGACTGAAAAAAATGGCACCTCTGAGAACATTAAGATGAAATGAAATGATGTGAGCATAAATCACATAAAAATAAACAGCATTAATATCTGTCATTCTGAGAACATGACAAGCTTTTAAGAGACCCTGATAATGCCAAAGATTTATATTTAAGAGTGCTCAGCTGAAGAGGGTAATGTTAAAAAGCAACTAATTTCACTGTATTTTTTCTTTCATACACGTTACCACTTGTGTACTGCTACCATTTTTTTATGTGTGCTGTTACTTACAGCCCATTTAGGTAAAGGGTCCAATAATTTACTCAACTATCTTTTGATCACTATTTAGGCTGGCCAGCCCAAACACATTTTATTATGCTTCTTTCATGTGAAACCCACTTAACGAAGATCTATTGTTAACGTACAGAGTGAGTAGTATTATGGCACAAACGCTATTTAACTAATGAACCATACGTAAAATGAATGTCTATGACATGCCAAACATGGAATGTAGAGCTAGTAGTAGCAACAGAGTTATTTTGATTGTACTAGTGATGTTTTGGATTTGTATAGCTGCTAAGAAAAACTTTATTTTCCGTCTATTCCACCTGGATGAGGGTGATTTCCCACAACCACCTTTTGGGCCAAGTGCCATCTATTGTTTATGATTAGTGTAACAATGTTATGTTCCAAGGACAAGTTAAGAAAAAAAAACCACACTGCCTTCAGAGAAGAAACTAAGTGAAAAGTGGATGAGATTTAAATGTTATTAAATAAGAAAAAAGAGAGAAAAAAAGCTAAGAACAGTTTCAAGTGTTGAGCCTGTGCTTTTTAATAATAGTAATATAAGTAATATTAGACATTAGATTCCTTTGTGCCAAATGATTGATTTAACCTTTCCATCTCACTCAAGTAGTACAAGAACTAAAGAAAAAAAAAATTTTGAAGATGGTTCTTAACAATCTTAACATAACCTTATATCTACAGTGCTCTATCATTTACAAATAACTTATCTAATCTAATCTTCATAATGATCTACTGAAGAGCATAGGACAAGGAATAATTCTAGTTTATGTCTGAGTGAACTGAAGTTGTGAGAGTTCAGTAACTTGCCTAGTATCACACAGCACAGGAGGCTGAATGAGGACGATATTTCAGTCCAGTACTGTTTCTACTTTGATAAATATTTCTTGCTAAGTTGACACAAGTATTGAAGAACAGTTTCAATGGGGAAAGTTATACTATAGACAGCAAACAAGTATCAATCAAAAAAATTATAATTTTATTACTAGCCCTATTCTATTATTTTAGTAACTTAAAAAATGATGCCATATGTTGTTAAATACAACACTAAAGATAAAATAAACACAAAGCTCTTGTTAAAAATCATTACTCTAAAACAATTAAAAATATATGCTTGAAAATATGTCAACAATTTTATATTATATTCCTTTTTACAAAACATGCATTTCAGAAATAGAAAAGGTAAAATTAATTTTTGCTGCTCTATTTTTTGAAAAGAAAATTATAAAAACAAACATTTTTCATTTGAAGGAACTATACAAGACTAAGAGGCACATTTTTTACTGTTTTAAAAACAAGCTATAAAACTAGTGATAATTACCTGAGGAGCAATACGATTAACAATATGTGAAATCTCATCACTATCTGTGGCGTAAATCTGTTTTTTTCTTCCTTTACCTAAAGAAACAAAAACATATCTATAAATTTTAAACAAAAAAAGCCTATTTTTTAAAAAAAATAGCTGTCACTTCTTAGAAAATGATTCTAATTAGTGCAGTTTAGATGACTATATACTAGTATCACATATAGATAAAAATCACAGAAGAGTCTCAAAAAACATCTGTTATATAGCAGTTCCTGGTGGTGTTACCCAGCTAAAATTCTATAGTTAAATCCAAATCATTCATCAAATATTTACCCACATAAACACGTTAATAACAAATTACCTAACTGCTTTGTCAATGGAGAATTTTGATCCCAAAAGATATCATTCTGTCCATCTGGATCATTAGGAGAACTGAAGGTAGATGCCAATAAATCCATTTTCAGCACTCTCTTTGGTGTTTCATACCTTTCTATATAAAATATGATTAAAATAACAATTATTGCATTTTAAAGAATCACTTCATAATACCCCAAATTAAAATAATAGCTCAGACTAATTTTTGTAGTCAAATATAATTTTTCCCAGACATGATTATATTACTTGAACCACAACTGAAATGCTTGTTTCACATAAAAATCCACGTACCACTTCACGAACTTGACATTGTAAATACAAAGTCTTTTTAGATAATCTAGCAGCTCTATGAATACATTATATAATAGTGTATAACTTAGTTTCATTCAATTCATTATTACTGGGACTTGCAGGTTTCAGGGAACCATCTGCAACTTACAGGTACATTCCAAAAATGAAGCATTCCAACGGAAACTTCCATAAAAGTCTGTTTAGCCTCTTCCAGCAACTCTATTCAACCTACATTAATCACAGTACTTCAAAAAGCATTAGTGATTTAATTCTTGGGGTACTTCTGCCGAGAGTCACTTTTAAATTTCTACAAGGATTTGTTTTTGTTCATTTCAACATTGCTTTATGGCAGTCAATAGGGAGACAAAAGCAATATTTTTCGAACACGCTCTAGGAAGTCTTTTGTAAGAATGAGTTTCAAGTTTCACCAGGATGTATTAGAAGTTTTATAAAATGGCTTGGTGTCTGTGGCTCAAGCGGCTAAGGTGCCAGCCACATACACCTGAGCTGTGGTGTATGTGATGGTGGGTTTGAATCCAGCCAGGACCAGTCAAACAACAATGATGGCTGCAACCAACCAAAAAATAACCAGGAGTTGTGGTGGGCGCCTGTAGTCCCAGCTACTTGGGAGGCTGAGGCAAGAGAATCGCTTGAGCCTAGGAGTTGGAGATTGCTGTGAGCTGTGATGGAGGGCGACAGCTTGAGGCTCTGTCTCCAAAAAAAAAAAGGAGTTTTATAAAATGAACAAAAGTTGATCAGAACGAAGCCCTTAGTTCTCCACTTGGAGGGATGTTATCCATGGCTACTTCCGGTTTATTCATAATGAGGTGAGACACTGGGGAGACAGGCTATAATTTTTCATATGGCCTCTCCTCTAAAGCACTTCAGGGCCAAAAAGTAAAACTGTTGCCCTTAGTTTATTTCCAGGGACAAATTAATTCCCTGGGAATAAACTGAGGGCAACAAGCCCATCAGCAGTTTTCTCCTGGCTACTCCGCGGCTGCTGACTAGCGGAGCAGCCTAGAAATTAGCAATCCTCCCCCAAACAGGTAAATCACAGGACGTATTCCTGTGGCAGGGCCAAATGCATGGTCAAGCCTAACGGGGCTCTGCTCAACTCGGGGATAAAAGCCGTGGGTGAGTGGCACAGGGTAACTTTTGGGCTCGGCGAGGGGTGCTCTGCAAGCCGACAGAAAGCAAGCACACTTCCAGACTCCACCCCACCCAGATTCCCTGGTGCATGTTGGGTTGTGGCGCTGCGGCGCCCAAGCCCAGGCAGGCGGCGCGGCCGAAGTCTCACCCTCGGGGTTACTTTTACTGCATGATGCAGCTGCCGGAGGCTGCTCTTGCTGCCGCCTTGGCTCGTAAGGCCCCTCTCCAGGCCCGCGGAGCCCAGAATGGTGGGCCGACCTCAGTCGCCTCCTCCCTGGCTCGACCACCGAGCCGAATTCCTCAGCCACCGCTGTTTTGCGCGGCGTGTTCCTCGGACCAGGGCTGTCCCCATGTTTCCTTCGACGACTCATGGCCTATGACTTGCCTCCACCAGCAGCTTCTCCTCTCACATTTTGCAATGGGATTAAAAAAAGGCAACAACATTAAAAACTGCACTCCGCGCCAACGGCCGCAGCCATTTTGGGCGAGGGGGAGTGCGTCAAGGGTCGCCGCTGATTGGCTGCGTCGGGGAGGGGGCGGAGCTGTCGGGGTGCTGGCGGCGCGCGCGCGCTTCCGCTCCGGGACCTGATCGTGCTCCGGAGGGGGTCTGGGCTGTGGTTCCTCCGGTCAACAGAGGTAGTAGGGGTAGGGGGCCTGGTCTCCTTCACTGAGCTTGGGAACTTACAAAGTGGAAAGGAGCTTGGATACACTAGCAGATTGTTCTGAAATGAATTTACAACAAAAGTGCACATTGGATTCAGATTGTGGCTTTTTAGAATTTGTCAAGAAGAGAAAATAAAACTGCAGTTTTTCATAGATGATAAGTGCATAGAAAAAAAAACCCAAAAGTAAACAAAATTAAGTTAATAAATTAACAGTATTGCTGAATACAAAGTGAATATTCTTCCTTGTTTTTCATGTGAATAGAAAATTATCTACACACTATTTTCTTTTCTTGCAGTTTTTGGCTGGAGCTAGATTTGAACCCACCACCTCTGGCATATGAGGCCAGTGCCCTACTCCTTTGAAAGCCTCAGCCTCCACCATGTGCACTATTTTCAAAAGTCCTTTTCCCATTGCTCTGGAGGGTCACCTTTATCTTCAGTCAAGTGTCCATTTATACAAGAATAAACTTGTCACATGACACAGTGTGTGAGCAAAGTGGCTGGTGGACGCACGTCATAGGCCATGAGGCCTCGAAGGAAACAATGGGGAGAGCCGGGGCCCAAAGAACACACTGCGATGCAGCCAATCAGCAGATCAATGTTTTTGAATAGATTGAATACATAATAACATAAAATTGAAGTTTTCAAGAAATATGACTTACAATAGCTTAAGAGATAGCAAATAACTAGGAATTGAACCAAAGATTGCCAGTTCTGCTGAGAGAAGTGTAAACTATTTTTATTTTATTTTATTTATTTATTTTTACAGCTTTTGGCTGGGGCTGGGTTTGAACCCACCACCTCCAGCATCTGGGGCTGGTGCCCTACTCCTTTGAGCCACAGGCGCTGCCCAGAAGTATAAACATTTTTAGAGGAAATGGAATGCCTAAATAAATAAAGGGTCATACTATGATCGTGGATTGTTAACCTGGAATGTTAAAATGTCAGTTCTTCCCAAATCTACTTTAGATTCAATGCATATATATTCATAATCTCAGTAGTGTGTGTAACATGACAAGTTTATTCTAAAATTTGTATGAAAATGCAAAGGAAGAAAAATAACCAAGAGATTCTTAAAGATGTCTTGAAGAATAGTGAAATTGGATATGTACCAGCTATCAAGGCTTATGTAAAGTTATGGAATTAAAAGTATTACAATGGTGAAAGGATAGACAAAGATGAAAGATAAAGGATAGCCTAGAACAGGGTTCCACATAAATGGATGCTTGACTGAAGATGAGGGGACCCTCCCGAGCAATGGAGAAAGGACTTTTGAAAATAAATAGTGCAAAGTTAATTTCATATTCACATTAAAAACTAGGAAGAAACATCCTTACCTCAACTGTATCCCCGAATTAGGTATGTATTTATTATACATTAATTGTAAAAGGTAAATAATATCTTCAAAGATATAAATTATCTTCATAACAGACAATCAACTTTAAAGAGAACATCAAAGACACTACCAATATAGAAACGAATTACAATTTGACTACATTAAATTGATAGCTTGAGAACTTCTCTCCATTCAAAGACAACATTAAAGACAATGAAAGACAAGGCACAGATTGGGTGAAAAAGTTTATAAGACTTATAATTATGGGCCCATATAGAGGATATATAGATAACTGATATAAATCACTAAGAACATGATTGACCATCAATAAGAAAAATGGATGAGACTGACGAGCAGGAGCTTCACAAGACAAAATCCAAATGATCAGCAGAGTTGTAGAATAGTGCTTAACTTCATTTTTAATTAGAAAAATGCAAATGCAAATCACATCAGCATGGATGAAATTAAAAAGACTGACAATGCAAGTATCAAAGAAGTAAATCAAGGGGGGAACTACTGTGTACTGCTGGTGAGAGTGTAACGTGGCACTACACTTTGGAAAACATGTTTTGATCTAGCAATCTCACTCCTAGGGATATGTCCTGTGGAAATGCATGGACTTTTCATCCAAATACATTTTATAAAAATACTTTTACCAGTAAAGTTCAAAATTACCCTGTAAGCAAATCAAATGCCTTTCAACAGTAGAATGATAAATATATTGATCTATACTTTCACACAAGAAAATTCAACGACGGGCTCGGCGCCTGTGGCTCAAGCGGCTAAGGCACTAGCCACAGATACCTAAGGTGGCAGGTTCGAATCCAGCCCGGACCCGCCAAACAACAATTACGGCTGCAATCAAACAAAAAATAGCCAGGCATTGTGGCGGGCACCTGTGGTCCCAGCTACTTGGGAGGTAGAGGCAGGAGACTCGCTTGCGCCCAGGAGTTGGAGGTTGCTGTGAGCTGTAATGCCATGGCACTCAACCCAGGGGGACAACTTGAGGCTCAGTCTCAAAAAAAAAAAAAAAGAAAATTCAACAACATAGATAAATCTTTAATATGAAGTTGAGGAAAAAGGGGTAACAGCCCCCCCTTCCCATAGTGTTATATAAATACTAGATAAATTCCGACAGGCAAATTTCAACTATATTGTTAAGCATGAGTGTTAAAATGATAAAGAAAAATCTAGGAAGTGATTCATATAAAAGTCAAGATAATCGTCACCTCTGGGAGAAGAGAAGGGACGGTGAGTGGTTAGAAGCAGACAGGGAGGGGAGTATCCCCTGTATTTATCGGCTTGGTTTATCTTCTTGTTACAGTTATGGATTACGGGAGTGCTCATTTTGTGATACTTTGTTGAACTGTACATTTTGTGTGATATACTTTCTGTTATATTTATAAATAAAAAAGTCTAATAAAAGGCAAAAATCTCAGTTTCCACTGATGTACTAATATAGTCCTTCTAGCTTTGAAACTTACTCAGTTTTTACTCTTCAGTTGGGCTGACAGTTATCCTAGAACTAAATTTGAGGTTCTTTCCTAGCAATTATAAAAACTATTATAACCAAATAATTCTATTCTTTTTCCTCAGTCCTGGACCTTCTACTAATACATTTCCTCGCCATGATAGTTTTTAACATCTCTCTCCCCCCTCACAGACACACACGTGCACACACACACACACACACACACACGTGCGCGCGCACATGCACGCCATTGTTCATTTTATGTATTTATAACTGACTATGATAACAAGTAGTGTTAATGTCTTTTATAATTCCCATTAATGACATGAACCTTTACTTGTATACATGAGTGGGAATATTATTTCTCTCAGGGATTTCTCCTACCTCTGTCCTGCCCAAGAATGCTAAAAGGATAAAAAAAAAAAAAAAAAAAAGACTTAATTTACTCAAATATCCAGTTCCCATTTAGGAAATAGTTGAAGTAGTTTAAATAATTTAGTGGTTCTTATAGGAATAATAACCAGGTGATAATCCTTTAAAACATTAATGCGGCAAATAAAATAACAGTGTATAATTTACCATAACTATCTAAATTCTGTAGTGCCTAAGTAACCATTATATGGAAGAACAACTTGAGCCCGAAGAACAGACTTATTTTAGCACACCTAGGATGGCCATAATCCTGTAATCATTATTTGATAGGAAACTTGTAAGTTTTAGGTCGAAAATTACTTACTTCACACAATCTGTTACCGTTCTAGATGTACTTCAAATTAAATGTGCTTCCTGAACATAACTCCCGAAATAAATGTAGTACAATTAACTCCTTAATAAAATGTTTTCGATGTGGAGCAAAATGTAAGTTTTATAGATTTTTGAATGCAAAAGCTCCAAAATGGAGCCTTTGAATAATTTATACATAGAAGTATGATTTAATACACCTAAGAACTTCAATAAGTAAAACCCTTTTGTTTCACTTGCAGCAATTATTCATAAACTGGAAGGTAATTATTAAGCCTTGAGTCTCTGAGTTGCTAAGGGGCTTCTCTGGCCTTGGTCTCCTCACTCACTTGACAGTGATGCTATCTGCTGGAGCAATGACTTAACTGTGGGCCATCTTTGTTTCAAGAAAAAAACAAGATCATAATAACGTGATTACATTTACATTATGTATACTGAGCCCCAGGTTAAAACCTATGAGGGTACAACTGGCATACACTAAGGATGCAACAAAATGAATGGAGATTTTTTTTTTTTACAATGTTGTTACTACTATGTTCCTATCCCCAAATGCACCTGCCTACATGTTGGGCTCATTTTTCCCTCAGTCCTGACCTGTCTGCAGTTGAATCTAGAGCCACCGGCCAAGCCTAACTGCTCCATCGGGAGCCTCTGCTGCCTGGGTGACCAGGTCTGGCCAGAAAAGACTGTCGCAAAAAGATGCGTAGCGATGACCATATTCTCAAGAGAGTTAAAGTAAGAATTTGCTTAAGGGCCTGGGCAAGACCTTGGGTTGTTAGGGGAAGGAGGTAGAGAAGGGGGCTCAGAAACTAGGAAGGAGCCTGCTAGAGTGGAACTCTAGAAGCAGCAGAATTAGGCAGACTGAGCAGACTGAAGGAATTTGTGGATTCTGGATGCCTTGAAACCAAAACAACCATTCGGTTCCCCAGGCCCCAAGGCCGGATTCTATTGTGATTCTAATCTTTTTCTTTTCTCTTTCAATGAGATCCCCTATAGTAAACTTCCCTTGCTTGAAGGTCTCTAATCCTTATAGGCCACACCCCCCCAAACATAGCAAAAATACTAATCTTAGAATCAAGGCTTAAAGTTGACCCCAGGGACGGTAACAAACTGTGTAACGTAGGGAAGTGGTCAGCATAAGGAACGAGGCTCACTATACTGACAAGTACATGTGGTGTACGTCAGGTCTAGGAAAAGCAGGTCAGCTGAAGGAGGTGGTCAACTAGGGAGGTTCTACTGTGATTGTTTCTCAATTCTTGGGAAT